TTTTAAAAAGCAATAGATTAATGACAACAGCGATAAAAATAAAAATGCTATAGATGGAGTCGCTCAAATTGCAGTAGGTGGCGTCGATTTTAAGATCCAGGATTCGGTACTATGTAAAAGACTTGGCAGCACAATAGCTTTGTAGACCTATAACTTAGTCTACTAAAAATATGATATTAACTTGTTTCTAGCTCTTTGTTCAGTTTGGAGTCGGTGGATATGATATTGCCGTGGGAGTTGAAGTTCTGGACTAACTCCAGCTTTGTCGGTCCGATGAGAGACAATACATTTGATTTGGTGCAAGTTTATGAAGCATGACAGTCACCAAGCCATGGAGAGCAGTCAAGGTTTTGGGAAAAGTCCAGCTGTATATCATGTTGGAAATTTATGAAGCCCTAGTATTTCCCGACGTCTGTAAAACTATCAAATTATTGCGCATGCGTTTTATCATCACACTTCAACTTGTAAACAGAGTATCTGAAAATCGTTTTTATTGTCAACACTATAGTAAATTCTATTTATGATTAAATAAGAAACAAATAGAAATATTTTGTAAAATTTAACATGTTTCGCTATTTAGCTTCATTAGAAGGTTTTTGGTGTGAAATAATATGGAGTCATATTTCAGTTTTTAAATTCTGTTTTGTTTTTATTGGTTGTTTAGACGTCACGTGTATATTGTATGGCGTTAGTATTTTTATATATATATATATATATATATATATATGTATCTATTTCTTGTTTTGATTAAAGTTTTTTTTTCCAGTAGGGACGTATATATAGCAAGTATATATCGTTTGGCGTTAGCGTTTATATACGCATCATTTTTTTTTAAATTCTATGTTTAATTTTCATTAGTTGTGTAAATGTTACGAGCGTATCATATGTTTTGCATCTATATGCGATTTCTGAAATATTAGTGTATTTAAGCTAGTATTAAAAATTAGGTTTTGCGTATTTGATTTTGAGTGAGAAATATGAAGATCTTTTTTTGTGTTAATACTATGTTACAACATTCACAAACATTTGGATCTTATCCTTTTTAAATATTCATTTTACGAATATTAGTGATATAAAGAATTTTATTTGTTGGTATACGAATCAATAGTAACACCGTAAAATTTGTATTGATAAAATTCTCAGGATATGCTTACACATGTGTGAATTTGAGATTAGCTGTTTTAGAAATATTTACAATAACTTGTTTGGTGGTGTGAGATTTTATTATGCATGGCAAAGGTTGTTCAACATGTTGCAAGAAATTATATATATATATATATAAGTAATATAATTTTGGAGATTTAGGCTTACCAACTGTACCACGGGACTCGGTGACGAAGAAGACACAAACTAGACTCGATATAGCGCCGCTGCTCACTCAGTTCCGCAGCCATACTCATCCAAGTATTCAGAACAGTGCCCCAAGAACCACGACTGTTTGACGTTTGCGTTGTATCGAAACGGTCCGGGTTCGATTCTCGGTAGTGGATGCGCACTGCTGATGAGTCCCAGGTAGGACGAAACGGCCGTCCAGTGCTTCCTGCATTCTGTTGAGGATTCTTCTAGACTCATTTATATATATATATATATATATATATATATGTGTGTGTGTGTGAAAATATATAGAAAATAGGAAAAGAACTGGTTAAGTAAATAATCCAAAGTTCCTTAGTATTTTTGTTATTTTTAAAAAAAAATAGTGCTCGATTTAAAAAGTACAGCATAAATATAATTATTTATTTAAAATTTAAAAAAAAAATAATTAATATATATATATATATATATATATATATATATATATATATATATATATATATATGATGGTATAGAAATTATATTAAAAAAATCATATCAGTAAGAATTGCCACAAGTTGTTGATGGGGATAAACATGAGATTTTTATGCTCCTGCTAATACATAGAATTTAAACAAATAAATTTAAACAAATAAATAATATTAACAAATATATTGATAGCACATTTTAGAAAAGAGAAAAGTCGAAATGAAATCAAATGTTCAAAGCAAACTTCAATGTCTAGTCGGCGGGAGCGAAAAGAATGCGTCTTTTCGTCATGAAAAGTCACCGTGAAAGAGAAGGATTCTTTCAAATCTCCCGTCCCCTGTAATTATCATCAGGGTGGGACGATAATCCAACAAGAGTACCGCAGATAAATGCAGCTCCATTTTCGACTCTCCCTCGCTACGATCGAGCATTCTGCCAACGTTCTCCCTGTCCTTTTTCTGATGCCATCAGATAGCGTCTTCTTCGGTCTTCTCTTCGGTCTTCTTCATCAATGTGTCCCTCTAGGATGTAGGTGTAGAAACACTTGGCCCTGATCACATGGCCAACGGATTGCAGTTTTCGCTTTCCTATGGTCGCAATCTATTATATCTCTGTTCCTTTCTCCTTCAGGGCGTAGTCATTAGTTTTGAGGTCCGTCTAGCTGATGTGCAGTGCCCGCCTACAGCAGTATGTTTGCTCAAAGACATCAGTTCGTCATCCTCGGCAGCTGTCAGAGTTCAGGTTTTGCAGCTAAATAGCACTCCCGATCATATTAGGCCCCGCTGGTGCTTCAACAATGCTTTTGTGAAGAGAGCCGTCTTTCCACAGGTGTTCAGCCATCTATATACAGATCTTGCTGCCTCTAATCGAGTCCTAATCTTATGATTACCATTCACAGTTTGATCTATGATCGTTCTCAGGTACTTGAATTTCTCCACTTGAGCCGTCATGACTCCTCGGTATAACAAGACTTAATTATAAATACAAATTTATTTATATCTATTTGTTTGCATAATAGAGCATGGCATTCCCAAAACAGGTTAACAAAATTTAAAATAAAACTGAAATTCGTATTGCTCAATAAAATATATCTTGACAGTCTTACATCAGTTGATGTACAGTAATTTGATTGTGAAAACATTAACTTGCATAATAAAATATGACATCCTATATTTCTTTAAATATTTTTTTTAAAGTAATTTCTTTTGTTTTTTTTATTCAGTTCCATTTTGTTTCTGTTTCATGTATTAGGAACATTGTCGACTTTATTTAAGCGTCTTTCCATTCCTTATTTTGTTTCTTTCTTTTTAGGGCGTTTTTTTTTTTTTTTATCTCTTGTCATTTTCGATTTATTTCTCTTCATCTACTGCATTTCCTCTCTGGCATTCCCTCCTCCTGATTTTTCTTTCCTATTCCCGTTAACCGCCTATTTTTTTCCGCTCTTTAATTCAACTCACCCCTGTCAACACGTTATGGGTCAGCGCGACAGGGCAACGCACACCATTCGCTATGTTTTATACATCAAGGGGAAAGTCTTATTTTCAGCAACGGAGTTTAGATGTTGAAAAGTTAATTTCTTACCTAATGTTGTATATTCAATGGTTGCATTATTGAAGGTTTTCTTTCTAATTTCCTGTCATTTCTTTCTTTTAAGTTCTTAGTTGCTTTTTTTGTTTATTTTTACCTTTTTGTTTCGATTCTTTTTTTTCTTAATTTCGTTTTCTTCCTTGTTTCTACTTCTTTATTTTTTTACTTTTTCTTTGTTCATCCTATTTTTATTTGTACTTTTTGGTTACTTTTTTCTTTTTTTTTTCTTTTTCGTTGGTACTTTAACTACGCTGTACTCTCTTGTTCTTGTTTGTATTATTTCTTCTTTGACTCCAACTTCTTCCTTTCTTTCTTTCTTTCTTTCTTTCTTTCCTTCCTTCCTTCCTTCCTTCTTTCTTTCTTTCGTTTTTCTTTCTTCTTTCTTTCTTTCTTTTTCTTTCTTTCTTTCTTTCTTTCTTTCTTTTCTTTCTGTCTTTCTTTCTTTTTTTTCTTTCTTTCTTTCTTTCTTTCTTTCTTTCTTTCGTTTTTTTTTTTCTTTTCTTTTTCTTTCTTTCTTTCTTTTTTTTTTTTCTTTCTTTTTTCCTTTTTCTTTCTTTCTTTCTTTCTTTCTTTTCTTTCTTTCTTTTCTTTCTGTCTTTCTTTCTTTTTTTCTTTCTTTCTTTTTTCTTTCTTTCTTTTCTTTCTTTCTTTCTTTTTCTTTTTTTTTCTTCTTTCTTTTTCTTTTTCTTTCTTTCTTTTCTTTCTTTCTTTTTCTTTCTTCTTTCTTTCGTTATTCTTTCTTCTTTCTTTCTTTCTTTTTCCTTCTTTCTTTCTTTCTTTCTTTTTCTTTCTTTCGTTTTTTTTCTTTCTTTCTTTTTTTTTTTTTCTTTCCTTCCTTCCTTCTTCCTTCCTTCTTCCTTCCTTTTTTTTCGTTTTTCTTTCTTCTTTCTTTCTTTTCTTTTCTTTCTTTCTTTCTTTTCCTTTTCTTTCTTTCTTTCTTTCTTTTTTCTTTCTTTCTTTCTTTCTTTCTTTCTTTCGTTTTTCTTTCTTCTTTCTTTCTTTTTCTTTCTTTCTTTCTTTCTTTTTTTCTTTCTTTCTTTTTTCCTTTTTTCTTTCTTTCTTTCTTTCTTTCTTTCTTTCTTTCTTTTCTTTCTGTCTTTCTTTCTTTTTTTCTTTCTTTCTTTTTTCTTTCTTTCTTTCTTTCTTTCTTTCTTTCTTTCGTTTTTCTTTCTTCTTTCTTCTTTCTTTTTTCTTTCTTCTTTCTTTCTTTCTTTCTTTCTTCTTTCTTTCGTTATTCTTTCTTCTTTCTTTCTTTCTTTCTTTCTTTTTTCCTTCTTTCTTTCTTTCTTTCTTTTTTCTTTCTTTCGTTTTTTTTTCTTTCTTTCTTTCTTTCTTTCTTTTTTTCTTTCTTTCTTTCTTTTTTCCTTCTTTTTTCTTTCTTCTTTCTTTCGTTTTTTTTCTTTCTTTCTTTCGTTTCTTTCTTTCTTTCTTTCTTTCGTTTCTTTCTTTCTTTCTTTCTTTCTTTATTTTACTTTGCTCCGTGTTTATTCTACTTCATTTTCGTAATTTCTTCTTTCTTCGCCGTTTCTTTCATATTTGCTTTTCCTTTGTGCTTATTTCATTTTGTCTGTTTCTCTTTCTTTCTTAATTAAACATTATTTTGTTTTGTCTTCTTTTTTTCTTCTTATTGCCATCGGTTTTCGTCCGACCATCGAAGTTAAGCACCGTCGAGACTGGTCAGTACCTAGATGGGTGACTGCTCGGGAATACCAGATGTTGCAAGCTTCAATGTGATGATGGTGCAATGGATAACAGCTCGGAATGCGAAATTGAAGAGACGAGTTCGAATTCCAGTCGGGTTCATTAGATTTATTTACTTTCAAATGCCTTTAGGAAAAGCTATGTATAATAATAATTTTACTATTTAATAAGACTTGTGTCAGAAAATAATTATGATTTTCAAACAAACAATTCTTACAATACAAACATTCAAAAAGGTTGATAAACTGTAAAAAACAAATCAACCAATCTTCTCAGTTTTTAATCCTTTAATCTTGTTACTTTTTTCTTTGTGTTTTCTTATTTCTCCTTTTTTTCTTTTTTTTCCTTTAATTTTATTGTTTTCTTTATTTAACCTTGTTTTTTTTTTCTTTCTTCTTACTTTTTCTTTTCTCTTCCTTTGTACCTCCCCGTTTCTATTTTCCTTCTACTACACTCTCTTCTTTTATTTCTTCCTTTCCGTCTTCATCATTTACATAACATGTTCACCTCACTTTTATTTATTCATTCCTTTTTCAACGATATCACTTCCCGATATCATCAATTTTCGAGTCGATAAGAAATACGTATTCACTATTTGCCATAATGGTAAGTCTATTTGGTTCGATAAATTTAAATTTGCAGCTAATCTTGTAAAAATGAAACTGTTCTCTTTAATCATATGAGAACTTATTTTTGCCTTCTATCGGTATGGCTGATGCTAACCCCCAAGAGAGTAACTCGTTGCGCCTTCTCAGGCTAACGTTTTTCCCACTAACCTGAAATAAAACGATTATATTAAATCAATTGCTAGGTGTTTTGCTAGAAAAGTTGGTTCACAAAGTCGTCCTAGACAATTTTTCTTGCCATAATTTAGCTTACAAATTTTATATGTTTGCCATCCGTCCTTGCTTATTGCTGTCACATCTGGTCTGGGGCTCCTGTTATAAAATTAGAATTTCTTGACAGATTCTGGCGAGAAAAAGTTATTTATTTATCTTGTACCTTTATAAAACTACCATTCATCCGTGCATCGAATATTGCTGACATATATATTTCTGCTAGGTATCTAGAAATTCTTGATAGAATTCTGAGAAGAATCTGCAATATTATCAGTCATGACCTGGTGTCTCGATTTCAGACCTTTTCCCACCGCAGTAACGTAGCTTTATATATAAAGTAGCTTTTATATATAAAATATATATAGCTTTTATATATAAAGTAGCTTTATATATAAAGTAGCTTTTATATATAAAATATATATAGCTTTTATATATAAAGTAGCTTTATATATAATTTTCAAAGCATGAGAAATGAACGAAAAGTATATTGCAGTGGCTGATGGAGATAAATGTATCTAAAGATTAGTCTACCAATCATGTGGTAGCATTTTGTAAATCTATATCTGTAAAAGGCAGGATATGTGTGTGTGTGTAACGAATGCACGACCGCAATTTTCGACGGATTTGCACCAAAATTTACATGCACATGCACATGCTCCAAGTTAGTGGTAAGGCCAAGACCGACTTTGCATCTACCAACTCCCATCGATAGTGGAAATAATCGATTTTTTCATGCTTCTACGGCAGTTTTCATGTAGTTTGCGGCCATTTTCTACTGGCCAGAGTGAGAATAGGCAGGTAGATTCTATTGGCCAGCGTGAGAGCCAACAGCTGACTGACACGAATGTTAACTAGCATGCTAGCATGCAAAAAAAAATAAAAAAAATAATCGATAGCTGCATTCGTCACAAGTGGGAAAAATGTAAATCTGCATGGCACTTTACTCCAATTGGCGGATTCGTTTGCTTAAACTCAACGTTGATTCTGATTCTGCAGAACTGGGTTGGGTGTGAAAAAGTATTTGTTGTTAACATTCTTTTTTCATTCGGTTTTTCCAGTTACGAGTCCTTTTTTAAAGCTGATCGTCTTGTGTTCATTTTGTTTAGTTCTTTTTTCGTAACAGATTTAATGTTTAGTACAGAGCTTAGAAAAAATTCGCAGTGTGAGATATGCAAGAAGTAAGGCATGTAGCAACATCAGCATGGCAAAGGGCACTCCTTTAAAGGCAAGGAAGGGCAAAAATATTTTAAGTGATATCGATTGCTGTATGAGTCGTACAATTTTTGAATCAAGCACGGGCAACGCCGGGCCATGCTGTTAGTGGTTCAATATGATGTGTATAACCAGGGTCGGCTAATTGGGGACTCCGGGCGATGCTTTATGTCTCTCTCTATCTTATCAAAATTTATTTTTTCTACTTACATTTATATACGTTTCAACTTAAACTAAGCATAACTATTAAAGGATGGAAAAATTTCGCAGATTTTGACGTCATTTTGGCGTCTTTTTATTTTCATCCAAATTCGTGAATTTTTTTCTTGCTCATCCTAAGTCTTGAAAAAAAAAAACACGATCACTATCTTTTATTTAATGTTGAATATATTAAATTATTCAATTTTTTAACTAGAAAAACCTCAAAATAATGTTAAAAATTGCCGCAAAATATTGCTGATTTATTTAAGATGGAGTTATGACATGTCGCTAATTGAGGAGGCACGATGTAGTAATGGGTAGCGGCTTGGATTGAGAAATCGGAGACCCGATTTCGAATTCCATTGGAATTCATTACATTCACTTACGTGCTAATACGCTTGGGAAAGGTATGAATTCTGTTCTTCTCACTCCAACTATGGATAAATAGCAGGATAGACCGGGTTGTCTTGGATGGTCTATCGCAGAAAGAAATGAGACATAACTGACTGACTGATTCTAATTTGTATTTAGATACATTTATTTTTCTAGTTAAATTGTTCAACTATATTGCAATCTTGGGTCACAATAAAATTTGTATTTTATATGAATATTACCTTCTGAAAATTCAGATGTACTAATGTTGGGGGACCTGTATCATCGATTCGTGGCAGGAGACGAGTTTTGCATCGGATCTATGTATAACATTCGACAGAAAAAAAAACTTCATCTACATATATACAGAAATTAGGATTAGGCAATAATTAGTTCATGTAGCGAACTGATTAAATGTTAGAAAATAATGTCTTAGCTTTGAGGTAACTTTGCTGTACACTGCACCAGTGACATGACCTCGGTTGTAAATAGCGATAGAAAATGGTCGGTCTGGAGAAGACGTGATGACTTTTTGAGAAGTGGTACGCTTACATTACGCGTCTCTAGCCAGACTGCCAAGTGATACATTTCATTTTGACATCTGCATAAAGATCAGTTAATAAAGTTTTGTAACGTTACACGAACTAAACATCAATTGCAAGAAGACAGAATACACAGTCATTAGCAAAAAGGAAGAGCCCAACATGTAAATTGACAAATTCCAAAATGAAAACATGAACTAGAATAATTTAAATATTTGGGAAGTGTTTTAACAGAGGACGAAAAATGCGACACTGAAATCCGAAGGAGCATTTGGATAGCGAAAGATGCCTCCCAAAAGCTAAGCATAGTATTAAGAAACAGAAAAGAATTCGGTTCAAACAAAGAAAAAAGTATTGAACTGTTATGTAATGTTCCTACATGGCAGTGAATGCTAAACAATCTCCTCACAGATGATGATGAGACTTGAAGCAATAGAAATGTGGTTCTACAGAAGGATGCTGAGAATAACCGAATATGTGAGAAAATTAGAGGAAATGGACACAAAAAGATACTTATACTTAACATCAGGAAGAGACAGTTGAAATTTCGAGGGCAAATAATGGAGAAAGAGAACTTGGGAAATTTGATACTCACAAGACAGACTGACGGCAAGAGAGACTGAGAAAAACAACGCATAATCTACCGAGTTGGCTTGAATAAATGGATAGCCGAACAAGGTTTAGGAGAGATAACAAAAAGGCAAAATCAGTTAAAAGCTACAAAGGACAACTGTGGAGAGCCATGATCGCCTACATTGTGAAGAGATATGACATATAGAAGAAGAACACTAAGGGAGGAGAGAAAAAGGAAACAGAGAGAAAGAAATGACGCGAACGAAGCGAAAAGTTAAAAGGATGAAAAGGTAAAAAAAACAAATCCAATGCAAATATTGTGTCCATTATCGTAAAATATTCATGTGGGGTGCGGATTGTATAACGGGTAGCAGCTCGGCGCAGCAAATTCGATGTCCGGTCGAGTTCGTTGCATTCACTTTCACACACAAATACTCTTGGGAATGGTATGCTTCCATCTCTTTTCCACCTAGATATTTGTGAAACAGCAGGGCTGACTATGCTAACTGTTGCTGGCAACCAATCTAGGAGAAGGTCAATTTTTGAATTCAAAATCGGTTGGTGGGATTATTAAACCAGAAGTAAAACTTTGCACTTTCTTGCAGGTAGACTTAAATGGATTGTGGGACAGGCAGTAGTAAACTTCTGTTCTGGTCAATTTTCTTCCTTTTTTTATCTAAGTCTTAATTTCAACTTCGATAGAGAGATACTTTTCTAGTTAGAAGAGAACCAACCCACATTGGCACACTGGGGATGTTGCTCTAGCGGTGCATATATTAAAAAGCCATTGAAAAGATTATGGAGTTCACACTTAACTGCGGAATCTATTGATATCGTCACAGAAAGTGAAAATTGGGACACCGGGTATTCAATCCTAGCGAGGTGTATACTATACAGCCATTGAAAAGATTATGGAGTTCAGAATTAAGATCGACGCGGTGTTGTGGACTCTGTGAGCTCGATTGAGGTCGAATAAAAAAAGTACTCGTGCTTGATTGTATTTTCCACTCACTGAATTATTGCTAAAGAGTCTAATTCTGATCGAATTATACTGGCACGGGTCAAACCCTAAACACAGTGAGTTAACACATCTGATTTATCTTTAAGACATATAATATATGCAGGTTCTTTCAATTTGACTAGTCTCTAGTGAGTTAGTCTAAGTACTTTAAAAGCAGCTTAACGGGATCGCTTATATAATTTTAAAAAATAATTTCCCTTATGAATTTCCATAATCTGTTGACATATTTAGACGTTTTATTTGAAATTTGTAAAGGAAATGC